CGTTCCAAACACACAACCACTTCCAGCTAGATGGACAAGGGCAGCAAATACATGGAAGCACCACATTCAAGTTCCCTTCCAAGCCACTCATCATCCTGACTTAGAAATATGTCGCTGTTCCTTCACTGTTGCAGGATCAAAAATCCTGCAATTCCCTCCCCAGTGGCATTGTGGATCAACCCACAGCAGGTGGACTGAAGTAGTTCAAGAACGAAGCTCACCACCACTTTCACAAGGGCAACTAGGGGATGAGCAATAAATGCTGGCCCAGCCAGAAATGCCCATTTCCCATAAATTAATAAAAATGAGGGTCCCAGGCACCTACCACCCTCTGCATAAAAAAAACTTACCTCATACATCTCCTGTAAACTTTCTCCCTATCACTTATGCCCCCCGTAGGTGAAGACATCTTTAATATTTGTTGCAAAGGCAGGCAACCCCAATTTAGTGACAAAAGTAAATACAGCTTCTTTGTTTGGCATTTCTTCGCCTTTCTGTTGTGCACTAAAAGTTACTAACAACTGGTTGAATGCTTCACAACATCTGTTGCTCCTATATTCAAGAAGGAGAACATTCCATGTTCTGAGTGAGTGTTGGGGAAGAGTAGCAATCATTCAAAAACAAGGGTTATAATATCATATGGCGCCAAGGATAATTAGCTTCTGAAGCTTCCTTAATGATCATGTATCAGACAGCTGTATAGAGAGTTGTCTGATGATCATTATCAGTTTGAGAAGCATCCTCATGTAGACCCTTTTGACCCTCTGCATCGTTCAGGTGTGCAATTTCATACGCACTGCTAAATGAGCATGTGATACTCAAGTACACTTCACTACAATGACAAAAACTGCACTGAGAGCATCTTTTCCCACCAGAACAATACACTAAAACAGACTTTGGTTGTTAATGTAGCATTGGGCACTACCCATCTTTGAATGGGTGTGACTCATAAGACACACAAGGAGAATTAACCTTTGCCACTGAGAAATGTGCCCTCTTGAATTAGTACATGGCCACACGCACAAATTGACCGTAAGTGCAGAACGTGAGTGGAGGCAAGGAACTGTTCACTAAATGTTCACATTAACCTGAGGCTCAGTGATCTCCACGCTAAAGCAAAAGTGAAAGGTACCACAGTCCCAGGGTACTACAGACTTCTCTCTCTTGAGAGAGATGTTAAGACTATATTCATGAATGCAAAAGATGATGGGTGTTTAAAATCCGCTGCTACCCAGATGGGAAGTGCTTTTATCATCCTTGGAATGTCTGTAAAGACTGTTTAACTAAGACATTGCAGTAATCGATGTAACCCAGGTCCTACAACTAAAATGGCAGCTAAGTGAATGCGCAATGATTTACCATGCATATATCTTTACAAATATGCGTGTACTTACAATTACTTGCCACCCTTGCCACCTATGTGCCCTCAGATATTTTTTTCCCTTGCCCCCACCTCCCCCATGACCACAGCAGTCTACAGCTAAGTGGAGGGAGGCCTGCTCCGTAGCAGGGCCTGCTGATCTGGAAGGTTTGACCAGGCAACCCTGCAGGGTATTTATGATTAGACCGCCCAGAAATGATAAGTGTGTCCTGGCTAGGTACAGCCTTGTCCTTCTTGGCTGAAACTACGATACTGCTGGGGATCACAGGCGGGGTAAATGTAGAGGCACCTGGAAAGTTAGCCCTTAGTCCAAGGACCGAAAGAACTGCGGATGCTGTAAATCAGGAACAAAAACAAAGTTGCTGGAAAAGCTCAGCAGGTCTGGCAGCATCTGTGAAGAAAAAAACAGAGTTAACGTTTTGGGTCCGGTCACCCTTCCCGGAAGGACCTGAAACGTTAACTCTGTTTTCTCCTTCACAGATGCTGCCAGACCTGCTGAGCTTT